GACCCTGTATAGGGGTTCCGAGGGGGTAAATCTTTATGGGAGTAGAAAGCCTTATCTTTCTCCCCCAGAGCAGCTGGTAGTTTCGAACCGCTGACCTTAAGGTTCGCAGCCCGATTCGTAACCACTACACTACCAGAGCTCCTTGATTAACTTTAGTGGACATAAGTGTTCTAAGCATTTCACAAGTATTTATTGATTTAATATCATGGACTGTCTTAGAAAAGTACCATTTTTTTTCTTTTTTGAGATTTGTTCATTCGACAAATATTTATTGAGTATCTTTTATGACCACTAAATAGATGTCGGCTGATATTATTATTGCTAATAAAAATTGTTGTTGTTGTTAGGTGCCATCGAGTCGTAACCAACTCATAGCAACCTCATGCACAGAACGAAACACTTCCCGATCCTGGGCCAACCTCACTACTGTTCCCACGCTTGAGTCCATTGATGCTGCCACTTTGCAAATCCATTTCACTAGGGGTCTTCCCCTTTTTCTCTGACCCTCCACCTTACCAAACATGATATCCTTCTCCAGCAACTGGTCCCTCCTGACAATATGTCCTTAGTATGAGAGATGAAGTTTGGCTATCGTGGCCTCCAAGGAGCACTCTGGCTGCACCTCTTCCAAAACAGATTTGTTTGTTCTTTTGACAGCCCATGGCACTTTCAATATTCTCCTCTAACACCATAACTCAAAAGTATCAATTCTTCTACTGTCGTCCTTATTCACTGGCCAAACTTTGTCTCTCATACTTCGGACACATTGTCAGGAGGGAGCAGTCACTGGTGAAGGATATTATGTTTGGTAAGGTGGAGGGTCAGAGAAAAAGAGGAAGACCCCCAATGAGATGGATTGGTCAAGTGGCAGCATCGATGGACTCAAGCATGGCAATATTAGTGAGGCTGGCCCAGGATCAGGCAGTGTTTCTTTCTGCTGTGCATAGGGTCGCTATTGGTCAGTACTGACTTGATGGTACCTAACAACAACAACAACGGCATGAACTATATAGCTTATTCCTGGTTGTTCCTAATTTAACTTAGTCAATGTTAAGAACCACTAGTAAAGTAACAATGAATTGACATACTGCAAAAATGTTTGCTAACATTAAAAAAATTTTTTGAGTTAGGTAAATTTATACAATTTGACTTGTTTAGGAAAAAAACAGATTAAAGTTTGATACTTATCTTATTTAAAGGCAAATTATTTTATTTTATTGTTGAGACTAAACACAGCAAAATATACACAAATTCAACAATTTCTACATGTAAAATTCAGTTACACTGACTGTGTTCTTCAAGTTACACAACTGTTTTTACCTTTTTTTTTCTTGTGAGTTTTCCCTTCTCCGTTAACATAAAATCACTCCCCCTAAATTCCATGTCTGATATTTTAAATTGCTGTAGTCAGTTTGATCCCATACAGATAGACCTTAAAAGAGCATAATACTCAAGGCAGACATTTTTTCACTAGTTAAGATAATTGTTTGGTTTTAAAAAGACTTCAGGGTTTTTTCAAATGTAAAGTTTAAAAATTCCTTTAGGGCAATAGTTTTATCGGTTTATCCAGTTTCAATGGTTCCAGAAGATCTGGATTCCAGGATAATGTGAAATTCTGTTACACCCTTTTGTCCCTTTTAATCAGGATTTTTCTATAGAATCTTTGAACAAAATGTTCAGTAATGGTAGCCAGAGATCATCCATTTCTTTTGATCTCATGAAAGCCTTCTGTCTCATTATAAAAGAAAATAGTATTAAAACACTTCATAACAAATATACATTAATAATTCTAGAAAGAAGGAAAAGACATGTTATCTTACTTTCTGATTTTAAGTTATTTATAAAATTAAAATAGACTTTTTAAAGCAATATGCTTCAATAGAAGAATCTGAGCTTTGTCAATCTTACTGAATTTTGTTAGATTATATATGTTGAGCCACATAATACACATATGAAATTCCAAAGTTATGTGAAGTTAATAAAAGAATTAATATTCATAGTGATTTGAGTGTTTTGTTCGTTTTTTTTTACCTGTTTCTGTCTTCATTTTCAGACAGAGAACACAGAAAGTGGGGAAGAATGGAGAGGCTTTATTCTTACAGTAACAGAGGTAGGAAGGTCATTATTTTTGCTTCATTCATTCATTCAGCAAATATTTGCTGAATACCTAGTATATGTATGCATACTGAAAGAAGGTGACAATACACCAAATAAGGGACAATTTACTCATGTCATTTATATCCTTGTGGGGTTAGGGGCAAGGGAAAGAGAAAATAAAAAAGTAAGCAAATAAGATAATTTCATATTGTTATTAAGAAAATAAACAGAGCAATGTGTTAGAGAATAATAGGACAAACTAAGCTCATTTTTGGTCTGATTCTTGGGAACAGTGGTCCTTTGTGAATTTGATATTTGTAGCTTATGTAGCATCTTCTAAAATACCTTGTGATTCTTTTCCTATTCACTTCACATATATTTATAAAATGCTAACTGAGATGGATTTTCTAAATTCCATAGACAATAAAACAAGAGGTACCATCAAAATTTAAGTCACCTTTAAATATTTGTTTGATGAGCCTCAGAATTCGTTATGTGTTCAACTCTGTGGCATAAAATCAGTAAGATCTACTGCATATATTTAACTGTTGCAGCAAGATGCTATTTTAAATAAAGTCACTGTAGTAACTATGATGAGGTACTTTGATTGCCAGTCCCACAAAAAACACAATGATCAATAATACTTTAAAGACTATGAAAACCTTCCGTGTTTGTTTGTTGTTGTTGTTATGTTAGGTGCCATCGAGTTGGTACCGACTCAGAGCAACCCTATGCACAACAGAACAAAATAGTGCCTGGTCTTGGGCCAAACTCACAATTGTTGCCACGCTTGAGACCACTGATACTGCCACATTGCCAATCCATCTTGCTGGGGATCTTCCTCATAGTGACCCTGTATAGGGTTTCCAAGGGGCAGCTGGTGGGTTTGAACTGTGGACCTTGTGGTTTACAATCCATTGTTGATTCTAAAGCACCACACCTATTATTTGATAAACAATTTGTAGATCAGGAAACACACAACCTAAGCTGCATGTCTGAAAGATATGTAACAGCATCAAGGTTTTACAGTGAGAAGGGAACAGAGTCCAAAAAAGTCTGGGTGAGTTATTTGTTCAAAAGTACATTAAAATGTCCTTCAAAATTCTTTATTCTCAGAGATGTTAGTTTGCTTAAGAAGGCAAATGTCACAGGTCTGAGGGAATCAATCCCTGCCTAATGGGCTTTCAGATAACCAGGTGTCTGCTTGTCTAAAATGCAAGCGTTAGAAAGCAGGAACTGTTGATTATACATAAATGTATAGAAATAAACCCATTTCTATTTCTACAAGCTAAGGTACTTACTATCTTAAACTTTTTCCTATTAAATCACATGCTAGGTAGCAGCCATGCTCTTTTGGACTAGACATAAGAAACTCTTAGTTTTTAGCTTCCACAAGGCAGCTAAAACTAGTGGATATATGGTGGTGCATCTTCCTGATATATACAAATTATATTTGATGTTTTGGTCCAAAATTTCTTTTCCAATTTTTTTTGCCCTTGAGGTAAGAAAACAGAATATTATTTTATATTAAAATATGTATTGAGCTCTTGACCTTAGAAGCTTCTGAAGCAAGAAAGCCAAGTGAAGGAAGAAACGAATGTGCATGCTGACGCACAAAAGAAGAAGATGAGGCAGAAGTCCAAGTAAATGCTAGCGTGTGCAGCCACAGCAGCAGGAATATGGAATACACTGTTACAAGTTGACTACTTGCTACTATCTAGAACTTCTGGCTCAGTAGATCTAGAACTTTCACCGCCATTCGATGAATGCTGCAAACGTCTGAGACCCTTCTTGCTGTACCAGTTCAGTTCGTTTTAATCTTTATCCTGGAAATATGACATTATGGACTAGTTCTGTCCTCAGTTCTCACTTGTGGCTGAATGTATTATGTGTACAATAAATTATCTCTTCTGTCTTAGCTGAAGAATCAAAAAAAAGTATATATATATACATATATATATATATATAGTTGTTGTTGTTGTTGTTGTTAAGTGCTGTCAAGTTGGTTCTGACCCATAGCAACCTTGTAGAGCGACTGGTGAGCTTGAATCACTAACCTTGCAGTTCAAACCGACTTTGCAATCTAGTGCATTAACCCACAGCGCCACACTAGGACTCTCTCTCCACATATATAGATATAGGCTGTCTTTGGGTTTTGAATGTGATCCATTCCTAACTATGACTTTAAGAATTTGTAGGTAAATCCAAATAGATGAATAGGCTTCTTATTTAGCCTTACTTTAGTGTAAGAAAAGGCTGGGAAGCATTTCCAATGATTTAAAAGCTCCAGGTTCAGGAAGTGAAGGTTATTGTGAGTCAATCTTGTCAAAGTGAGGGCAAATTTACACACAACATTAAAGGCCAACTAAGAACTGTCAGTAAATCAGCAGTTTGTAATCTGAGGACTGCCTATATATTAGAGATGTGTTGTTAAGTACCATGGAGTCTATTCTGACTCAGAGTGACCTTATACAGGTTTTTGAGGAGCCGCTGGTAGGTTTGAACCACCGATCTAATGGTTCACAGTCCAGTGCTACAAAACAAAACTAATGTGAATTTTGAAGAGAAGATAAGTTGCTTTGCATTTTGTTCCCTATAAATGTTGTTTGTGGGTATGGTCTGTGTGTACATTCATATTGTGGTTTTAGGAGCACTTTAGTGGAAAAGTCTGAAAAGCATAGACTATAATTGAAAGAAGTGGGACTTTGCTTTTGAATCATAAATTTATGTTTGTCTTGGTTTCAAAATTTACTAGGTATGTGACCTTGGCTTTTCATTTAATCTGAGATTTTTTTTTTTCATTTGTAAAATATTGGTAACAATACCTATCTTATAGCCATGCTATGAGAATGTGAAATACCACATGTGGGACAAAACAGGTAATTAATAAGGATAAGCACTGGACTGCAAACCACAAGTTCAGCCATTTGAGCCCACCAGCCATTCCATGGGAGATAGATGAGGCTTTCTGCTTCTGCGACTATGCACAGCATCAGAAATCCTATACAGGGTTCTCTGGAGTCAGAACTGACTAGAAGACACTTAATAACAACAAGCTCTTTCATTAGGAGTCTTTGGGTGTTGCACATGGTTAAGCACTCTACTACTAACTGAAAGGTTGGCAGTTTGAACTCTCCCAGTGGTGCCTTTGGAGACAGGCCTGGTGATATGCTTCTGAAAATCACAGCCTTGAAAACCCTATGGAGCAGTTTTACTCTGCACATCTGAGGTCACCAAGAGTTGGGGTGGGGTACTCTGCTTTGGGAACAAACCCAAAAGAAGATCCTGTTTTACATTTTAGTTGGTTTAAAGGCAGATCTAAGACACCTACCCCAGACCAAGAACTTCCACTGGTGAGTGTACGAAATCATCTGTCAGGTAACAGAAGCTGGTTAGGGCTTGATCAGGTCCACCTTTGTTAATATCAGCAAATTATTTTGCTGTCTTTCTTGGTTATTCTTTTGTTTTCAGCTGTCAGTTCCTCAGCATGTGTCACTCCTACCTGGACAAGTAATTAGACTGCATGAAGTCCTAGAAAGGGAAAAGAAAAGGAGGATTGAGACAAAGCCGCTACCTAGTACATTTGTTGAAAACAAGCAGGAAACAATTGAAGATTACATGGGTGTACTGAACCCTATGCCAGCGTAAGTCCACAATGAATATGGTTTCTTCATTAGAGTGTTATATATTAATTGCTAGTTATCAAAGGAAGTTAGCCATTCAATAAGCTGTTTTAGGGATTGTATAACTCTGCATACATGCCACATTTCCTCCTCTCTATCATGATCAACAAAACATACATTTGAACTAACTCTCTTACCACAAAGGAAATCCCCTTCCACCCACATCTTTAGTACACATAAAAATTCTTTCCAGATCTCAAATCTAAATAAACACTGTTACAAAAAAGAAGGGAAAGATATTTTTCACTATTTAACTTTATGATTGACCATTTTTTCTATCAGAAAATTTTACCAAATTACTTAAAATATCGTGAAAGTTTATTCAGTTGACCAATCAACCAGTGGGTAATCACTCAACTTGTACTTTGAGGAAGACCCTATGTATGTGTAAGGTAGTGTTTGGAGGAATAAAACAGGCATAAAGCATGCCTCAGCAACATCCTATACATACTTTTGAAAAATGCTTATTAAGCCCCTCTCTCCTGGAATCATGGTTTCCTTGTTAATGAAACTTGTCTTGATATTATCTTTAATAGCAAGTTTTAATACCTAATCTACCTGTATTAAAATCACAGAAATGTGCCAGCCACCACTTTTAGCTAAAACCAGTGATAGTTGATGTACTGGTAGAACACATAAACTGCTTCTGTTTTCTCAATAAAAATGTAATGTGTTGTTAAGTGCCATCAAACCGGTCTGACTCACAGGGACCCTATCAGGGTTTCCAAGGAGTGGCTGATGGTTTTGAACCACCGACCTTGCATTTGGCAGTCTAGTGCTTATCCTGTGTACTAATTCTTGTTGCTGTTAAGTGCCGTCAAGCTGATTCCAACTCATAGCAACCCTCTGTACAGGGTTTCCAAGAAGCAGCTGGTTGGTTTGAACTACTTACCGTATGGTTAGCAGTCCAGTGTTTATCCTACAGCACCACACTAAGACTCCTGTATTAATTACAGATAAAGATTAAAATCATCTCATGTTATACT